GGGTGTGGATGTCTTCGGAGGCCAGAAAAGGGCAGTGAGTTCTCTGGAGCCACGTGATGTGGGAGTTGGAAACAGAACACAGGTACTCTGAGAGAACAGTAAGTAACTGTTGAGCCGTCGCTCCAGTCTGTCACAGCATTTTTTACTCCTTTAATAATAGTACTGCAAAAAATATCATAGTTGGGTGTGGCAGTACATATCTATGTCATTCTGTAAGGATATGTGTAACTAAATACCAGAGAGTTGAATTACCACAGGAAAAGAATTGTAGGCTGTTATATTTATTGTTTAATAGATTTTGCCAAATTGCCCTCCATAAAAAGATTGAATTAAAATATCTGCCTCCAACAGAGTATAGGAATCTCCATATTCAGACAAAATAGTCAATAATATTATTGAATTTCTAAGCTTTGACATCATATTGGAGAAAACAGTAAGTCACAGCTATTTTGCTTTGCATGTGCTTGAAACTGAACATCTTTATATATGTTTTTCATTGGATATTTGGGTCTTTCATATTTCTCCTCTGTGAACAAATCTGTTTAAGTCTTTGGCACGTTTTTCTATTTGAGTTATTTTATTAATAATTTGTAAGGATGTTTAAATTACAACCAGTCTTCTGGCATCTGATGCTTATGCTTCTTTTTAAACATGAACACAGACTTCAATTTTTCTGTTAATCAATCGATGAATTCTTTTCTTTGGGAGAGAAAGTAAATTTTGGGTTCTGAAAATCCGTTAGTAATGTTTTAAGGCATTATGAGCTCCCTGGCTCACCTCCTGAAAGGGCCTCCTCCAAACAGGGGCCCCTCACCAGGGAGGGCCTCAAGCTGGGGTGTCATATTTCAACATTCTAAGAAGGAGGCTGCTTGGACGTTTATATTTGGAGTATGATTCCCCAGTGGAAACAGGTGGGTGCCTGGGGACTCTCCTGCATATTTTGTTCCTGAGTTCTGGGTTTTGTGAGGGTGGTGCACTAAAGTTCTTTAGAAAGGCAGGGGGTAAAAAGACCTCTCTTGGGGACTGCTTAGAATCCTGGACTTTGTTCTCCCATTTGTGAGGGGGGGAAAGAACACTCATGGCCGTGGCGTTCTAACAATACAGTCATCCACAGACCTTCATGCCCATTGCCGCTGGAAATTGTTCAACCATCGTCACCAACACGGTGACAGAACAGAAATGGCCAAATGTGAGGAGACCTCACCAGTGCCATGATGGGATGAAAATTCCACCTGTTAAGCCTCCTTTCTATCTATGTGGTAGCGGTTGCTCCTTTTGTGGGTGTGGTGAGACTGATATAAAAAAAAAAAAGCCCATCATAGGATACAAAACAGGTTAACCTTTGCAGCCACTCACCGGTTTGTAAGGCGCTGGGTTAATCTGAATTTGGTCTTTATTAAAGTATCCAGGGTCTTCTGTGAAGAAGTACTCAGGCACCTGATAGGCAGAGGTAAGTACGGCCAAAACCTCAAAAGCTTTCAATTATTTCTGTAAAACCATCAGGGTTTGAAACCTGAACATCTTTCCAAAGATTAATTTGCTGATTGCATTGAAAAAACATGCTGGCATTGTTTAGGAAAAATTTGTATTTAAAATGTCAGTAATTACATCTGTTTTCAAGGCTCAGAAGTGGTTTATAGCAACCAGAAAACATTTTTTTGTGTGTGTCATAAAATTGTGTAAACGGATGAGTCTTTAAAATTTTTACAACCTGAATATTTTCATGGCGAATGTAA